AAGCCCGACCCCAGCAAAAAAAAAAAAAAAACAACAAAAAAAAAAGAGGCAACTGAGACATTTCCTACAAGCCGGCTGCGCATGGGGCCGCTCGCCCGCATCAGGTCAGACGGCAGACTGCACGGTAAGGCGGACTCACTACTAATGATTCAGAGACATATTCATTTTGGACCTTAAGGGATTTTATCCACAGCAAAACATGCAATCGGTTCCCAAGCCATATGTGGAAGCTCTGGTTAATATCAAAGCTCTCGACTTCTGTGGGCTTAGTGTTCACCCCCCCCCCCCCCGGCCTATTCTTAAGCAAATATTTACAGGCCACGCCTCCGTCATGTATGACCACAGCCGAACCCTCTTCAGGAGCCATCAGGCGTTGGCCATGAATATGAAGAGTTTCGAGGCGCTGACACCCGTCTAAATAATCGGGCCATTAGGTCATTTAATATCCTCAGTATGAAGCCGCGTAACCCCCGGGACTTTGGCTACCGCCCGGACACATGGAAGCACTCAAGAGACAGCCCCCCCCCCCACAGCTGAGCCTCTCGAGATGGCCAGCAACGGGACCGCAGGAGCGTAATGAGAAACGCCCCCACGCAGCCTGCTCCGCATCACCGCCAGCCATATTTTCCCACCCTTACCCAATTCTGACCTGAATATATATAACACATAAAAATCTCAGGCTGGTCATGTGACCACTGCCTCTGCCCATGTGACCCTGTGCAGTCTGGCAGCACAGGTCGACGGGTTACATTATACCAAAATCGTGAATCTGGAATTGAAAAGCTTCTCCCACGAAATCCAGATGCAGGAGGCCATGCATGCGCGCACACATGCATGCACGTGCACGCCAACGTGCATGTTTACCTTTGGCTCCGCCCATTGCTCACAATCACATCCCTACTATAACTGGGGTTTCCGAACCCCGCAGTTTTTAAACAATTATTAAATGTGATGCTAATTTGCGGCGTGGGGAGATTTTAGGAGGCAGCACTGTGCATCTCCAATCCGGAGGCATGTCAGGAGACGAGATGAGACGTCCCGGCTCGATGTTTGCTTCACGAGACGGCACGATCCGGCACGTCGGCCCCGGCGACGGAATGCCGACGAGAACAAAGCCGTGCCGAAAGAGGCTTGTAGTGATCAGAGGGCCTGCTCAGCGTCTGCAGACATTCCCCCTGCCGTCAGGCGTGAAGGCAGGAGCCTTAAAGAGAGCCGCTGAAGGGGGGGGGGGCTAGCCGAAGCAATCTGTCTTCTCGGGGAGGAGGAGGAGAAAAGGGGGGAGGGGCCAAAGTGAGTGCGAGCTGGAAGGCAGTAGAAAGAAAAAAAACAGCCAAAATCTGTGGGATTTCTTCATTTCATTACCCTCTCACCCAGCTTAACAGGAAGGCCCCAAACACAAACGGGGACACAAAACGAAAAGACACCCCCCTGGCAGAAAGGGGGGGTGGCGGGCGGGAAATCCAAGCACTTTCAAGTGGAGGTGGAACAAACCAATTTGCCATGTTCCTTTATTATCGGAAATTAAACGGATCGAACGCAGGTGACGATGTCACGTTTGCCGTATCACACTGTTTTATCAGAATAGCGTCACGGCAGGTGACGTGCGTCTATCTCTACCGTGAAAGGTGACGTTAGTGCCACCAGCTCGCATGGAGACAGATTACCAAACACCCCTTCTATTAAACACCTCCCCCCCACCCCCGACAGGAGAATGCTGTCTTCTGAGTAGGCGACACAGCATTCCTTCGTGGACCTCCGCGTACAAAACCACTGACCCGGTAATTAAAATGATCTAGAGAGGAGCTCTGGAGGCCATTTCCATTACTCTACGCTGCAAGAATCATAATAAAATAGCGTCAACGGAGCCGGTGATGTCGACGGGACACACAGCTGGGAACTGGGGGGCGGCTTCTGGGGAAGCAGCGTTTGGCTAACATTTAGCTAGTATAATAAACAACAATATTATTATTATTATTATTTTAACACTAAAGAGGCCTTCTGTAAATGGAGCTCATTCTTCACATGAGGTCAGCTAATTAACTAATTATGAAAATGCTTAAGAGCCCATGGGCGCCACCTAGTTGCAGGTGCTGATGGATCACGGTCCATGCCGAGATAATAATAATAATAATAAAGGAGCAGCAGTTGCGTCTGTTTGGGAGCACAATGGCCGCCCCTGCCACCAAACCCCATCCTAATAAAGGCCCCCAAATGTTAAAAAGGCACGCAAGGGCAGCACGACCTTCTGTTCTGTATTTTCTGGCCAGCAGTCTCTCCTGGAAAATGAAAGTAAAAAAAAAAAAAAAGAAGAAGAAAGAAAATATCCTGAACCCGACAACCTCTTTTGTTCTACAGAATTTAGTTTTCACAGAACCTTTTCTAATTAACTTCAGCTAAATATGATATTACAGCTAGATCACGTAACACTCTCATTACAAGGCAGAATGCAAACCTAGGGGATCCAGAGCATGAACATGAACTGCTTTATATAATAAAAACAGCGATATTTTATGCGACAATTAGCATTATTATTTGTGGCAAGGCAGTATTTTAACTATATCGAACAAAATATTCCTCACAAAATATTTGAGAGCAAGCTAAGCGTGAAAGGTCAGAACTGGCCCTCAGAAGCACCCCAGATTAAAAAAAAGGTAAAAAGGGGGGGGGGGTTGCAGCACGCAGCCCCAGGCGATGGGCAGCCGTGGGGTCACAGGAGGGCACCAGCGTCCCCCGTCAGGACCCCTTCCCTGCCTCCCTGGTCAGCTGAGTAGTCAGGTGACCGCCGCTTCCTCTGCCGCTTCCTCTGCCGCTTCCTCTGCCGCTTCCTCTGCCGCTTCCGCTCAATTGGCCCCTCGGCCGCACATGGGGGTGCAGCAGCTGGTGGTTATCATTCTGCTGGGGCTTTTGCCGACCGCAGAGCACCAGGGACACAGTTCAATTATACCCCAACAGACTAAGTGTCAATAAAGCCCAAAAATATTGAACCAAAAAAAAAAAAAAATCCAAAACAACATTAAAAAGGTGACTCCGTTCCTAGAAAACAGCCGTACAATGACCTGCTAACACTAGTGTGTTTATGCACACAGACACACGTGGGTTAAATACGGCTGCATTAATGGGGGCGTCCCAATGAGTTCAATGTAATTAATCTGCAAAGCACTAAAACTTGAAAACAAAGACGTACAGAACGTTTCTGCCCCTTAGTTTATTTTTTTCACACATAATGGGATCGGTGCCTGTTTTGTCAGTTTTAATTACAAAAACACTGCAAAATGGTCCCTAGAAGATAACTAAACACGTTCACGCATATACATGAAAATTAAATGATAATTTAAACAGTGGCATAGTTTTCCATTATGGACATCAAGTTGGTATGTAGTGCTGTTTATAACCAATTAGTTATGCAGACATTTGAACAAAATGTTTGTCCTGTTAAAAGATACCGGCTTTTTGTGACATGAAAACAAAATATATGCACTTTAGAGGAAAAGAACGTAGCTAATAGTCGAGTGACAACTGCATTTATTTGAAATGTTGTCAAAACTAGACAAGAAAATGGTAAGCTGCAGTGTATATATTCACGTAAATGTGTTTTATGTGGCTTTAGCAGTCCATATTTACTTAAACGTTTCATGTGGATTTAACATAGTATATATTCTTGGGTACGGATGGATGGATGGTTGGTTTTTTGTGGATTTATCACAGTATATATTCATTACAACCTGTCCTGGTTTTCATATAGCATTTTCATATCCTTACCACTGAACTAAACCACGGCATACCTGCTGAACTTTTCTGAACATACAGGAGCTTACACTAATTCATTAAATTCGAGTTAAATGAAATTGGTTAAATAGGCTTTACTTTCGATTGAATTTTTCTGTGTCACGGTTTTATTCCTCACTTTCCTCAAACAGTTCTTGGGCTTCAATAGGCCACGGACGTGTATCCCAGGCTGTAATCAGATAACACCGGTTGGCTCATTAACGAGGCTTGAGTTAGTAATAACCCTGTTCTTCAAACTACATCCGTTCTGATCCTTGATAATGACAATGTGCGATACTCACGGTGGAGGATGCAGAGGAACTTTCTCTGTATCATAACTCAGCGGCCATTTGAACTTTCCACAATTTCCCATATAAGGATGCCTCGGAGAAAGCGCGCACTCTGCTGGGTACCGCTGAATTTTACCGATATTTTCAGTAAATCGATGAGACAAATTTGGGCACGTTGACTCGAAAAAATATGACATCAGTGAAAATCTGGCAAAATTCTTTAATGGACTCAGCTTCTATGACTTGGCCCGACATCGCAAGGGCGCAAATGGACAGATGTCAGCATGAAGGAAGGAGGTAAAAACACAAATACCACTAACATGAATGCAGCTGGTCTCTTAGCTAACATTTCCACCAGCTCCTTGGACTTATGGAGTAGAGTGTCCAAACCTATCTGAAATGTTAAGCATTGTTAAAAAATGAATTAATAACTCAATTGAACATATTTAAAGACGTAGATTAGGTAGTTAAATCTGTTAAGATTGTTAGAAAACAATCAATCGTAGGGTAGAATTCAATCGTAAGGTAGTACCGTTGCCTCATACTCCCAGGGTTAGGTATTCAAATCGCACCTCTGCTCTGTGTGTATAGTGTTGCCAAGTTCTCCCCCTCTTGTCCTGTGAGTCTTTGCATTTTCCAGGTACTCCGGTCTTGTTGCACAGTAATGAGCCACCTTTTTTTTGCTCCCTCCCAGCTCTCTACTGAGAGCAAAAACTGACAGGGTGGATTGTCTGGGGGTTCCCGAGGGCCGGGCTGGGAAACACTGTACGCACGACTCCCCATCCAAGGTGTACCCCACCTTCAAGCCCAATGGTGCTTTGATATACTCCACACCTCCCCCTTTGACCCCAACAAAGATATGCAGTTAAAAAATGAATGGATGTTTTTAGTTTTATACTGCTGTAAAGCTTACCAAGAGGTTTATTATGGGGAACAGAGGGTTGGTCTTAATTTTCTTTGTATTAAATAAATTACAATGAATTAAAAGGCACAGTCTGTAATCTTAACGTTTTACAAGTTTAATATTTACACGTAATACTTGTTAAGCGGCAATTCCAGAAAACTGTAATACAGGATGAAGATTATCTTCAATGGTGCTCATTACTAAGGTCTGGAAATCCATAAATATTAAACAGGTATGCAAGGATATTGCAACTAACAATTTTACTTTCAAGTTTTGCAAATTTCTTTTTTTGTTTCAAAACTTTGAGTGAAGTAAAGGAACGGCCGTGACAAATTATTGATCCTTTCAAGATATTTAACATGTGTCTAATATAGGAGTTTGTACAGAAACATTCATGACGGCAAACAAGCAAACCTAGATACTTTTCTGGCCGACGTGTTTGGCTTGTGCTGCTTGTAGCACATCCAGTCTAACATGCGCTTGACATTGTCAGCTCCAATTCGCACACTGATCTCGTATGAAAAGGTAATCCAATTGGACACGTGGTCTGGGAGGAAATACCGTTTAAAGCAATTTGTCCTAGCAAGCCACCCCAGTTAGGGCAAAATTAAATTCTGCACGCAAGTTGCGAGCTGAGCTGAACATGCGTGTCAGGTTTCATAACAATCTGGCTCTGCCTTGAGGACTTGGGTGTGTCTTCAACACAGAGCATTTATAGCAATTTGATTGACTCCTGTTGACCATAACACCCAGCCCATGGACTTTTCTTAAATGTGTTCCAGACTCGCTCCATCTAGTCTATGTCCTTATATGACCCCAACAGTCACATGATGTCTACAAGATGATGTCTTATGTTTGGGGGGGCGGGGGGTGAAGACCAGTAGAAGGTCTTATTTGTTACTGTACCTATTGCCAGTTCTTCTTCGTTACATTCTTTATGCTGTGGTCCATTACATCTGTAAGCTACTGGATGCCTACATGTCCTTCAGGGAGGGGGGAGAGGGAGAGAGAGAGAGAGAGAGAGAGAGAGAGAGAGAGAGAGAGAGGGGGAGAGAGAGAGAGAGAAAAAGAAAGAAAGAAAGAATCTGCCTATCAATCTATATTTATCAGATGCCTTAGAAGAACTGGGGTATCTATGATGGTCATCTAGAGCAGTTTACTAACCTAAACACCCTTTGATAGTCAGCAATGAGGGATGAGTGAATGTGTTTCTTGGACTTGTATATAAAATCCCAGGACACAACAACTGAAAGTTGAGACACGGGATGCTTGACTATTCAACGTGCTTGAAGAGCAACAGCTTGAGAGAGCAATTTGTGTATACCACCCCCTGGTCGACACTCCCATTCTGCACGCACATTGTGAACCCAGCTAAACATGAGTGTCAAGTTTTATAACAGTCCAACTGTGCCTTCAGGACTTGGGTCCATCTTCAACACGCAGCATTCATAGTTATCTGATCTACTCGCCTGTTACATAGCATTAGATTTAGAAAGCACTGCGTGCCTCAAATAATCATGAGCTCGATCTGTGTTTGGGAACAGTCAAAACGGCACTCAGCGTGCTGTTGGGGAAAAAAATACCGTCAATGACGTATGGAACAAAATCATAGTAGGCAGAGCATCCGAGCACAGTAAGCAAGGAATAAACAAGGAAAAGATAACTCAGCAGACCTGAATCGCTTTACGATGTCCTTGGAATGGATTTGGTCAGAGAGATTCAGAGAAACGGGGTGGGCAGTGGAAGAGGTGAACCAAACAGATAAACAGAGCAGGGCATGTTCACAAAGTTACCATGAGAACCTCTTTTTTTTTTTCTCCTGGCATTTTAAACAGACATTACATTGTTCTAAAAATATATTTGCTGTTGATCTAAACCATTACTGTGGAAATGAACCACAAAGGGGGAAGAAAAGCTCACTAGCTGTTTGAGGCGAGTATTTGTTTTAGAAATGCGATCAAAACGGAGCTGTTTGCTTTAGCTTAACTGCGGTGGATTGCTGACATGCGACTTCTCGCATGTTTTTTCGCCACCTAAAAACCAGAAAGGTGCAGCGAGGTTTTAGACTCCCCAGCTGATATCAATCACATGGAGCAGATCCAAGGTCTCTGGTAGCAAAGAGGCATGAATCACGTCGCCGGCTTCCCTGCCCAGCCGTGTCCCGATCAACATAAGGGGCGAACTGAGCTTTGAAGAGTTTCAGTTGTGGGGAAGAAAAAAATCCCAACAACCCTTGAAGTGTGGAGTTACAGAACACTTCAGTCGGATTCCTCCCATCAGAGATTATCTGTACTGAACTGACAGTTTGTGTTACTCCACTTGGAAGCAGACAACTTAAAGGAAGTGAGGACCTGGGCTACAGTTTAGCGTCTTAAGGACCAGACCGTGTCCCGACTTGTTCAGAATACGAATGTTTACATTGTTGAGCCAAGGCATCTCCTGTGAAACTTCAAGTGCTCATCTGTACATTAAAACACCTGATGAGACGAGGTTCGGCCCGATAGAGAACAGAGGCACGAGTCCGTGGCGGCGAACGAAACCAATGCCGTAGCCCAGAAACAAACCCGGAGAACCGGACTGTGAGATGAGTGACAGAGCCCTTTTGTTTCTGCATATCGTTAACGGAGTTACACAATTAAAGCAGCAGCCGCAGCAAAATTAATCCATCAGTGATATTGCACAGGAATCGTCCCTCTAGATTTTATTCCAAGAGCCTGTAAAGAATAAGCGAGGACAGACCCTTAACACTCATCCCATATTGGTTGATTATACAGATCACTGACTAAAACAGTCCTCAGATGTCCACATGAAGCCTGTAATTGGATATTAAATACTAGTAATGACATGCAGTAATTATTAATACTGACATGACAGTGTCACAGAGGGGATAGTAAGAGTCCTCCGAGGTGTACGTGTATATATTATACTCGGGAAACATTTCGGTGTTAAGCTTTAACAGCATCTCAGATATCAGCTACCTCATTGTCCCCCGACCTTGAAACGAAGTTCAGGGAAAAGCCGTTTTAGTATGAAAGAACTGCGATTACAGCTCTGTTCTTGGGCTGCACACAACATGTTCCAAATCAATAAACCTACTGCCATCATACACCAATACACTCTCACACCACATGCCGCTAGGCTAACAAGAGTCACTTTAAAATGCTTAATGCTTAAACTGATTCCTTTTTTTTTTCCCCCCACTGGTCTTCAATTATGCCTTACGGTGCGAGGCAATTATTGTGCGTGTGTCTTGGTGAAACGCTGATTAAGAATAAATATTATAGTCTAACAAAACCAAATCATTACAGTGTAAAAGAGCGTCATTTTCTTATATCGGAACACACAGGAACAACGTAAAACCAGGAATATTGCTAGAATCTTAAGACATCTGCAGCTTAGCCCACAGCCCAAATCAAACTGAGAACATGGTTGTTAAAACATCGGAGCTAAACAAATCATTCAGGGCTTGTTCTTACTGATAATATTGAACATTGTAGAATTTTGTCTGTCGTTAGTCACTTTTTGAAACAATTTGGTCTCATAAAGGGGTAAGGTTTAGGAATTAATAGACCTTTACACGCCCTCTCACTCTCTTGAGATGTAAACGACAACATGGAGAAGTCAGGACAGCACAGAGTCTGCCATTCCTGCTCTCAGTCCAGGTCAAGCTATTTCCAGCTCGCAGAACCTGTCACCTCCAGTGGGGGCACCGTGCCGCGCCTCACCCCCCCCCACATCACAACACGGCCTCCCAGACAGCTGGAGAATGGCTTCATTTTTCATGCATACCTTCCCACCATTTTAGGATCCTGAATTCAACAAGAGCCCCCCTTCCTTGAAAATAGGCCGATAATGAGGCGGGCGGGTGGGGGGGGGAACACAAACACCCCTCCGGTATCGCACGCTGAACGGGTCCTGCTTCCTCTCTGGGGTGCCCGGCTCTCCCCGTGTGGACAGCAGAGGATTAATGAAGACGAGGTGTGCGTTTGTTTTCGTCGTCTTCGCGAGGCCCACGCGGGACGGCCTAATGCCGCGCAGCTGCTCAGCTCAACGCGGAGGCATTTTCGTAAACAGCCATTGACCCCGGGTGGTGCTCGGTAAGGAGCTCGATAAGCTTCTCTGGGTAGCGACACTCCTGAACGACTCCGTAAACACCTCATCAGCACATTAGGAAATGCTGCTCTTAAAAACAAATTTCATTAGCCTTTTTGAACACAATTAAGACTGATAGCTGGATCGCAGAATGTATGTAAACCATTAGGTTTTATCAGTTATACAGCTGACAAAACCCTCTGCTGATTAGTACAGGATATATTCTGGCTAGACAAACATTTACAGTACAGATGTTCCCTCAGTGCTATGTACCCTCTAGTGCAACTGGCCTCGAAATAAAAATGTGCCCTTTTTCACACATGGTCATGTGATACATTCTTGTGACCCTTAAACCCCCCCACATTGAATGCCATGAGACAGCAAACATGGCCTTCACTTCCTCTACTGAGATTCACAGGCAAATCAAATTCTCGTCATCTTGACCAGCCTTTCTGTTTGGGAAGAATGTTTCTCCTTGCCCCCTGAAACTGTATTTCTGTAAAGCCATAAGCAATGAGGATTACGATAATAAAAAGAACAGACTTCATTTGACCTATATTGCCATGGTGCCAAACCATCCGCAACTACTCTAAAAAATGAATTATTAATCAAATGTTAAAAAAATGCTAAACAAATGAAGATGAACCAAACAATAGTAAATATGCTGCATTTTAAAACAGAACAATAAATGTTAAGGATTATAATTTATTGCCCTAAGAGAAGATACATTTCATTCAACATCAATGATAATTTAATTTCAAATATTAGCCAATGTAAAACAACCCAAAAACTGTTCTCATATTTGCAACAAACTAATATTTATAAAACTGTTGCAACTGAAAAGGTTAAACAAAATGAACCAACACCTAGGAATTGTTTCATCGAGTTAGATAAACTGTTTTTGAGCTGTTCATATTTCAAAAGACAACGGCAATTACCGACATAAGAGGCCTTTCATCTGCGGCTGTTCCGAAGCACTTTGATCTCAGCCATGGGCGGGAACGTGGTGAGCAACGCGCAGAAGCTGACAGATCACGGGGCAGGGTGGGGAAGGGTAGGCTGGCCAGGCTGAGAGGAGGAGGAACAAGCCAGCGGGGTAACAGATACGGTGCAGAAGAGCGACGATCCCAAACTACGAAGGAGCACCGAGCCAGAAACGGACATGGAGCCGTTTCAGAGAACTGTCTGTGGATCGCATCACTGTACCTGCCGCAGGTCATGCTGAAAATGCCAGACTGGGGAGCAGAACCCAGAATCATGTACACAGGGAGGGAGGGATGGAGGGAGGAAGGGGCACTAGCATGGATCGCTCATGCCAGTAGGGGGCGCAATTAACGCGTTGCAGCGGAGCGTCGAACCTGAATGACGTAGCATACCAGTCAATGACATTGCCACACTGTTTGAGGAGGATGGAAGTCGGGCGTCTGTCTCGCCCATGTCCCTCTAATCTACCAAGCCAGATCATTTGTGGGACCTCCCACAGGGGCGGGACCACAGGAGCGCAGGCCCTAGCTGGAAGCTGATTGGCTCACAGAGTGCCCACTCCCCTGTCACTTTCCAATTCAAAGCATATCATTGGCTAATGATAACATTGGCCCCTCATGAATTATGGCCCCTGTAAAGCGCCACATTATTCAGAAACCACCCTAAACATGCTTCTTTTTTAAACCATCGTGACGTCAGGAGGCATTAAATCCAGAACTTCACTCCTCTGACTTATACTTTTCTCCCACCATGACAAGTTACCGCAGAACGCTATGGCCTTGGTTACCAGTTAGCTTTACGGTGTACAGTCCTCTGGCAGCAGCAGAAAGAGCGAGAAACAGAGCCGCCCTGTCAGAGAGACCATGGCAGCATGCGGCAGTGACGAAACCCCGACTCTCTGTGTGTTTACGAAGCCTCAGGAAATACCAGGGCAGGCCAGCTCCGCGAAGCTCCGCTTCGAGCCCCCATGACTTGAGAACATACAGGCCCAGCTGTCTGGGTGCCTCACTTTAGTGTAAATAAATAAAGCAAGAACCTGATCTGCATACACTGCATACCCCCCCCCCCNGCCCCAGCCCCAGGTTCAACCCCAACCCCAGCCTGTTCCAGCCTCCTATACCACTACCTCCACCCCCAGTCGACCAGCCATCAATGTCCAGGTGACGACTGCCCAGCCCAGCCCCCATTACATGCCCCCGGGCCCCCCCCAGCCCCCTCACCACATACCTTAAAGTCAAATGCGAATCATGCCTCCAATTTAACGGACACTTTCCTCAACATTTTCCGGTCAATTTTATATTCAGCAGATCTTCTTGGCCATGCGACCTTCATTAGCATACAACAGATGGTCCTGTAATCACTAACCCTCAACTGCCTTACATTCTCCGAACCGTTTTTTTGTTTAATGATAAAATATGATACGCGATCTGAACAATTAAAAAAAAAAAAAAGTTTTACAATAGTTTTCCCACAAGTTTTCACACTGTAGCTCAAAGATTGAAATTTAAAATTAGCGCAAATGAATAAGTGTTCCGTTAGCCGCAAGGCATCGGCATGAATGATTATGGGTTTATGAGTATGAATGATTCAGGTTCGGCTAACCATCTACATAAATCCAACATTCAGCAGAACCAAGTACGCTACATCAATAATACGATAAGGGATTGTTTTTACACATCAGCACTAGAACAGATGAGATATACAACTGCAAGACATAATTACCTGAAATGCTTTAAAGATTTACCCATTTGGGTCAGTGTTTTTATATAGTGCATTTTCTGACACTTTCCCACAACTCTGGAGAACAGAGAAAGCTTCAGAACAGCACAGTCCAACTAAACTCATGTCCACTTCTTGACGATTGTGACTTTTTACTATACGTCCATTCACCTCTGTCTACTGATAGCGTCTGACATCTAATTGACCAATGAAATCATCTATTCAACTAGTATTTATGTTTGTATTAGTTGTATGTTGTATTCATGATGGACATTTGTATGGATTGCTTTGTACCACCAATTTTAACAACGGCAACAACGCTGATAGCTAGATAGCTAACGCCACTGTTAGCCTGAATATAAAGTGAGTTTTATTTGTATCGTTTTGACACTGATGTATTTCCCTTGCGGACATCAATCCAGGCAACTAGACGGCTGTGTAGACAGGTTTGTGGTGCTAAGGGTGTCTCATTATGATGTTTTAAGTTATTACTTATTTTTGCGTTATGCTGAAATTATGGATTTTTGGAGATGTGCATTTTTTATTGGACAGCGACGATAAGCAACAATTAAAGAAAGACGGCAAATACAGGAAAAAAAACATGATAAAATAAGACACATAAAGAAAAATGACGCCCCAAAAAGTATCAGAAACGTCCATATTTGCTCCTGTCCTCCTACGTTCCTCACCTTAAAAAAAGGTATCGCCCTTGACTTGAGAAGAACAAACAGCAGCCTGATACCCCCCCCCCCCCCCCCCAAAATCACAGAGCATCCATTTCGAGGCCGTCCTACCAAAATCTGACCCCTGCACACTAAAAGCAGAGAAGCCCAGAAATTAGCACAGCCTGGTTATGCGTCATCGGGCTCAAGACATGCCACCGGATGCCCGGATCCGTGCACAGGTCAAACAAAATGCAAGAGAAATGAAGACGCAGCAAACCCCTGCGGCCCCTGCTCAGAATGCTGGGTAATTAAGACATAGACCAAAACATGGGGCCAAAATGGAAATAGATCCACACCCCGGTAACTGATATTCCTCTCCAAGACTAGGTCTGAATTAGCTGGATAAAAATAAAACCCAGAACAAGATGGGGGAACAGAAGCAGACAGACCACAACACTTGTGCATGAGCACTCATGGTCTACAATGGTGCAAAGGGGTCTTACCGGTGGATGATGGAATGGTCTGGATTTACTTTACAGGTGACCAGTAATGTCTCTTCTACACCCTCATCGATCACCGATTTAACCTGGGGGGAACAAAAGTATGGTTTAAAAACCGCGCCGTCATCATAACTGTTGAATAAACATTTATCAGAGATTTATCAGGAGTACTCAGGGTAAACTCAGGCCGTGGAGCTCATCAGCCCGACTGATGCACAGCTGCGCCTGAGAGACTTTGAAATCACGCATCCCAGAAAACGGCTGTCACAATCCGAAGACACCCATTTGGCACGGATCCGGCAGTAAACACGGAAGACGCTGATATTCAATGAGATCCAGACATATGATTATGACAGGGAATGCCTCAGATTCTCTTGTTCACGCCGTACAAGGTGAGGCTTACTGCGGTTTAACAACTGATGGGCCAGCGATAAACACAGTTTTCTTTTGCAATACTTTGCGTAGTCTTCGGCTCCTAATTAAATCATCAATTTGACGTGGATATGGGCTGGGATGAAACAGCAACTGAGAGAATGGCAGGCCCTCACCTGGCCAGCCAATGAAATGACAGATCTTGTGGTCACATGACAGACGCCCACAATAAAGCCCACGGGACAGCAGCCCCGGGGCCCCGAGAGTGACACCCTCCTTTCTGAGTTCAGTATTTAGCGTGCGAGTCAATCAGAAAGCATGAACACACTGCCAGTTTGTATATTGACAGTTTGTCCCCTGTCAATGGCAAACTTACCACAGCAGGCAGTATTATGAGAATCAGCAAACCAATTAGCCATTATAAACACATTTTAACGGCCCCCTCCAATTATTATCCAAAACATTACACCCCCCCAGAGATGTAAATTTGCACCGAAACCACAGAAATATAATGACACTTCAAAACGAGTCTGTCACCATATTCTTCTGAATGAGATTAAACCATTACACACTGACAGGCCTCAACACGAGACTTGCTTGATAAAGACACGTAATCACACCAAAGAGGCCTGGGAAAGGATCACAGAAGACTCTCATCCAGGAAAAGCTCACATTTTTTGCTAGTTTTATTATTATTGAATAACAAAGTGAAACGGTCCCCATTGATCACACTGCAGGGGGCAGACCACTTCATAAGCTTTGACCAAAAACAGGAAAAATGTGCTTGTCATGAGGAAACTGGCTTAAACTGCTGTTTTTCTGGACAAGGGTGTTTATTTTAGTACAGAATAATGTTAATTGGTCAGAGTGTTCGAATTAAGGAATGTTAGCAAACGGCACCCTGGAACAAACACCGATTCTGAGTGCTGTATATTCTCACTGACTCAGCACTGCGGCAGTAACCCAGGCTGGAATAGATAACATGCTCCCCTCACACAGCAGAGCTCTGTAAACATGCTTTTCACCGCCTCTCACTGTCATCCGATCCCGGTACTGGGCCCTATTAAGTCCGCACGGGACGGGAGAGTCCCTCAGAGCACACGCACCCTCCGCTCACACAGCGACGCTCTGCATCCGCGGCGACAGGCCACTCAGGCGGACACACCGACGGCGTTAATCACCGCGTGAAGAGACCGGCTTGTTCCCAGATACAAGTACATACTTATTAGTCCTCTTATGCTAATAGAAGGGCTAATGACTAAAATGTGCCATATGTAAATCGTTTGCAGTGGTTCAAACACCTGCACTGTAGGTGTTTCTGGATCTCTGGCAATAATAATGTGTTCACTACCCCTCGCCAAAGAGTTACACGTTTGGTTGTGCCCGTGATTTAATAACCGACAGATAGCGACCCAAAATCCAGGGCGGCAATGATTTGGATTCAATATTTAACTCGCGCTGCTCGGTCGTCTGTTTAATGTCAGGCTCCTGCTGTAACGTTGCTGGTAGAAGCTGCAAGACGGCAAGGAGGACACTTTTAGACGGTCACATGAGCGTGACACAAGCGGACAAACTTAGCACGACATGGAGACGGCCTGCAAGTCCACAGATGAGATGGTCTCATCCAGACCAGAACCTCGCTAGCGTACCACTACCACATGCAAACCACTGTGTGATCTGATGTTTTTAATTCAGATATTTTTGTGGGGCATTATATTACAGAGAATACTGATTAGCTACATAAGGTCAAGCAGTTACTGCTCATCGCTGAACCGCTGCAGAGAAAATGAGTCGTCCTGTCATTTGGATTTGCTGGCTTTTTCCGAATGAAGAAAAGCTCCCCAAAACTTCTGATTGCATGACAGGAGAAAAAAAATGTAAATCAATTCGAGGATTACAGTTCTCTCCTAATAAAACATCACTCTGCGATTTATTGCAGGCGGAACGTTGTTGCAGCTGTAATTAGAAATGAATATTTGAAGGCAGCCTTTGGATAACTGTGCCGGCAATTTCATAATTCGATATTCATGTCCTAGCTACTAATCTGCTGTTTAATGGCAGCGACATTTTAAACTCATTGTCTTCCAACTTGCATGTTGATCTTTGCATTATTCTAATAAGATTCTCCTCTGTTACTTGTTAGGAAAGTCTGGCTACACTTTGCAAGGCAGAATGGGAGGCTGGCTTTTTAGACAGGACACACTCCATACAATCCCACATTTCCCGCTCGGTCATGGTCAAGTAAGGTCAAGGAAGGTCAAGTACCGGTTTCCCTCACGTCACATTAAACAAACTGCAAAAGATTCAGTTTTGAAATATTTTTCTGGAACTTTCTAAGCGCCTATTGACGAAGTGTTGTACCCACAGAACTGTGTCAGATAAACAGTCATCTGATTGTGTTTACTTTAGTTACAGACTGTTAGTCATCCAGCATGTTAGCCGCCTTCCATGCCTGTGTGTGATTCCCATTCCTATTTGCGCGTGCCACGAAAACGCACCAGATATTCCAGGTTTCCACGGCTCATTTCTGCTTTCCCTTTGGTGCACATCTGCCTTTAACAACCCGAAGTAACGTTTCACGAAACGGCTGTTGTCAGAAACATCCGGATAATTTGCGAGAAAACAAAAAAATTCAGAAAAGCAGTCGTGGCTGAATGGTGCGCATTGTTAGCCCGGGACGAAGCCCCACCCACTTGCCTGCCTGTGTGCCTCCCCCCCCCCTCCCCCTCCTCCTGGGTCAGCAGCCTCTGTTTACGGAAGATCACTGACTGGCTCATGTGTCACACGCATCTAGTATGGCCACATACTGCAGGTGCAGAGGGCGTGAGCTTGTCGTCTGCCTGCGCCACACTGAGCACGATCATGTCCTGCCCACCCAGGCCAAGCCTGGTATTAACCAGGCCTGCAGATCAAGGAAGGGGCTGAAGTCGGCTATAAAAAGACAACCTTTCTGACTTCCTGCTGTCTCCTAGGACACTTACAGCGCACACTAAACATTTACATCATTAATTGTAAGTATTCCAGCGGCTCTACAAAATCCTTTCGTCGGCTGAATTAATTCACGGAGCCGCCATGTGAAGAATCCACACTATTGGGAAAATCCCCCCCGCCGCCGCCGCCGAGAGCCAGCGTCACACACAGTAGGGGGCGGAGCTTCGGAAAGAAACCGCGCGCGTCGTCCGGGAGGCCGGCACGCGTCCGCTTCGAACCACTCGGTCTGGCATCGTTTTTCCTGGAACGTGAAAACACACCGTGCAATCTCAGGACCTTGGCATGCCGCGATCGTCTTACAACAGGATTAATCGCGGGTAGATGCCACCGCGGACGGTACCACGTGCGGCCGGTCCCCCGGACACACGATGGGCGGATCTGAATAATTCATTTAGGCCTGGCACATTTGGGTGTCTCTTTCATTTCCTTTCCCGGCTCTCTCCCCTCTTCCTGATCTGTACCCAAGCGCCCGTTTGTTATGATTGGCAGGTGGGAAGGTCGGCGAGAGGGAAAATAAAAACCATATTTTAACATTCGGTGTCAAGAAGCGGCTGCATCACGGGCGACGGGAGGCTCTGGTGGGTAGCTGCGGATGAAAGGAGGCATCCCTGGCTGTCCTCATGCGCCCCGACCCCCACCCCCCCACCAGTCTGGTATCGGCAGAGAGACGAGAATGAGGCCGCTCCGCCAGACGGCAGGGCCTTTCAACAGTACAGCACCCGTTTTTATTAACTGTGCCGCTCACCCTGCATGAACCGCGTGCCGCAGGGACACCGTCGCGCTGGGATTTCTGCTAGCGGGGATTTTAAAAGCCGCCGTCAGCCTGACGGGTGAAGAACGGCGGGTTCTGTGATATGATTCTCCGTGACATGAAACCTCTACCATCTCCCAGCTCCTCCCGCCTCCCCTCCCAGAAAGGTTCATTTGAACATGTGCCAAGACTGCAGAGATGAAGATATTACCGATGCCTCCCCCCCCCCCCCCGCCTTAATGACACATGCTTATTTCTGCAGAAGCCTTTAGCTTGGCTCTAAAGAACAGCTTGATAAACAGGAAGCAGGTTCCTACTGGTCTGGTGTGACCAAAATAGTTTAGGAAACCAAACAGCACCCCCAGTGGCCAAAATGCTTCATAGCGACTGGGGAAACCATGCCGCCTTCCACACCTCTTCAAACCTGCGGTATTCCTTCCTCCCAAAGCAGAGCGTGACTTGAAGGCCCGGTCGAGCCGCTCAGCCATGTGCCGACGCTCCTGCCAGCCCTCTGCCGGGCCACAGACCCATGACCAGCTGTCTGACACGTTCCCGGCTGCGACTCACAGACGCCCATCTGGGGGCATCAAGCTCTTACGTCTCCCCCTAAAGGTCACTGCTGGGAGTGCACGTATCAGCCCAGAAAACAATGCATTTGTCAGTAAGGGGCCCATGGTTCCCTAAAATAATTTCACAAAAGACAACAGAGATTCCCTGAACAGAATATATATTCTTATAGTCTGTTCCACCACTGGAAGCCCAGACACTCATTTTACACATCTACAGAAAGATTATCCTGACTCCAATCACGTAAGACCGCCTACGCTATAACTCGGAAATACCGGAAGCTGACATCTTCCTACAATTGCTGGAATTACATTTTCCTACAGCACTAGTACACAACCACGGACAGGCATTACGGCTTTCTACCACCAGTAATACTCATCGGTCATTTTTCACATCTTTATCTGA